GGAAAATTCTGAGAGCATAATTTATTACTTTCCATTCAGCTAATTATCTCTCATTGAACTAATTATTAGAACAGGCCTATTGGATGGCTTGTGGGCATTGGGTTCCCAAATTACTTTTTAAATTTTTACTGGAAACAATGAAGGATTATTTTCTCCCAAGAGAACCCTGTCATTTATCTCCACTTCCTGATTTCCCGTAAGCAAGTAGTGAAATCTGTTGAACAGGTTTTCTGGCAGAAAAATGCACAAAATTTTATTAGTTCCATCTATGAAGGAAATTTCCAAAAAGGCATGGTTGCAAGCTACTGAATCTCAATGACAAGATCCTTTCTTCTAGCCTTCTTCTATTATTAGACTATAAAAAGACAAAGAAAAAACAACAACCCCCGAACTTATTTTCCTCAGTACCTTCACTCCAATTTGTAGACTCTGATAAATACTTTTTCCAAGCCATATGGACCTTTGAACATTCTCAGTATTTTCTCCTTGAAATATGTCCCAAGGCAGATATTAAAATTCTCAAAGTTCAGAATACCAATTTTAAAAAAGGCTTGGTGCTTACTCTGGAGGGAAAGCAATACAATGCACCCAACTAGAAAATTTCAATTTACGTGTTCAAATTGTTATACTAGTAGCTGAAATAATTGGAGGAAAAATAGAATTACAATTTGTGCATCCTCCAGGTCTGGGGCCCAGGCATTTTGCTGGTTAATACAAGTAGGTGTCCCTCTCTGTCCCATGTACTGATGCTAGCTGGACTAGCAGTGGAAGGTAAAAAAAAAAAATCTCTACCACATCAAAAGGAACTTTCTAAATTAGGCAGTCCATAGCAGGTTCTGTGACAGAGCTCCATCCAGTATCACCAACTGGAAACAAAGATTAAAAGTAAAATTCCTTCTCATGTTAAAAGAAAGAACCACCATCCTGATATTTTGCAGAGTAAAACTTGCATTTTTGAGCTGCATTATTAAGCTTCATAAGATGAAGCTATGGCTGCAAGTGTACATTGCTGAGGAGGAAAGAAAGAAAAAAAGTTTGAAGAATGAGACCACTTTGATGGATTTCCTAGGTGGATTGAGCCAATTTGAAAGAATTTCTACAAGTACAATCCAATAAGGTAGAACTTTTTTCATCTCTTTCCAAGCAACGCGCTTCGACAAGTGCTGACAAGCAAGATCCAAGAAATTACAGAATACTCCTTGGAAGACCTACTTTTTATTACTAGGCAGGTTGAGGCATTTGTCTGTGTGCAATGACCAAGAATTAATCTCAATTCTTGAATGCCTAATTAATGCAAGGCATTCAACCTGTGACATTTCAGCTGATCTGTAGAGAAGAGTCTTTTGATAACACTTCTCCTAACTCTATTTCAAAATAAGCAAGAAGAAGCAATATCTGGCCTTTACAACTTCTGATCTAAATATCTAATTCAGATTAAAGAGAAAGGAGTTCCCATGAGGGTCAGATGACCACTTCAATAATAATCACACGCTGATCATCACAGGAGATTTGGGACCTATAGTTTAAGATACATTTTTATATGGTAGAAGGGAACATTATTTAGCATATATTTAATGCCAGAATGGGCATTAAATGCCTGAAGAGTGCACTTAATTTTGTGCTTTGCCTTGGGGAATCCTCAGAGTTGTCCATGGGTTATTAAGGGTTTTCCACTACTGATTTACTGTAATCTTAATTAAATGTAAATATAAATTGTATTTATATTTTTGTGTAAAAAATACATTAAAAATACACATGGGCGGGGGAGAGTGCAGACGCCTGCACATTATTCAAAGACTACCGAAGCCTTTAGTCTGTTAAAAAATTGTGTACTCCTGCTTTAAAACCACATTATGAAGTTCAATGCATTAATTTGTAGGTATTATTTCTATAAGAAGGTCCTTTGGGGCTCCTTATGAAGTTGTGTTACTGCATCTGATATATTTTTGATGGATGGCTTGTCTTCACTCATTTAGTATACCAGATTCTTTTAAGAATATAAGAATAGCTTTGCCAAGCAATAGCTAATCAGATCCAGGTTTTTGTCACATTTTGGCTAACCAAGTACCTTCTGAATGGCAGGGGGTAGAATTCCCTTTGGCTGTTACTCCCTAGAAACTGCTCTAATATCAATATGCTCAATCACATATTAATATATTTTATTGTGATACAGGATATACAACACTAGACCAGAAGCCATTGAAATAGGCATTGCCTTTCACCAACTGTAGAATTCCATCACCATATTTTCATTCAGCTAGACTATAATATTTTAGAGTTGCTGAATATTATACATGGTCTAACACCACATAAAATATTCTTCTCAAAATATATATTATTGGTATACAGAGGAATAATATCTTCTTTGAAGGATACATACCTTATCTTACAGCTTACCAGAAGCTTTGAACTCACTGACTTGTTGTCTTAGTTACATAAGTCAACTGGATAGCATGTATGGTAACAATCTTGTTGATTCTTCTTTTGGGATCCCTATTTTGAATATTGTCATCAGGGATACCTAACAAAGTATGTAGAAAACAAGTTACCCCTCACTCATTCTTTTCTTTTGCAGTATAAACAACAAAACTGACTTTATGCAATTTGAGACCAGAAAGCTATGTTACTAATTCTGCAATAGTCCATAATAGTGTCATTGCTGGAATTTAATATTTGCTATTAATTCTTTGAACACTTGCCAATATCAGCAAAACGGAATGGAGTTCCTATGTTAATATCCTCCTGTAAATTATGAAGACCCCATATAACAGTCTTCATGGAAAGCTCAGGGCAATTTTCTAGTTCACACATAAATTTAGTGCCATGTGTGAACTACTAATTATAGGTTAATGTTATATATGATCCATGCCACAATAGTTTCCTCAACTATGATTTCCTTTTTTTAAAAAAATTGGGCTTAGCAAAATGTGTGAACAAAACCAGCATTGCACCAGTTCACCTTGAGTCCTATTCTTCTCCTAAAAGAATGCTTATGGAGATTTAAAGAGGAAAATAAATCGCTCAGTAATTCTCAATAGAATCACTCACATTTGTTCTAAAAGCCCTCAACACTGTTATAGAACTAGCTATTTTCAGTTTTGGCTTCTGGAGCATACCTAGAAGGTATTTCCTGTTCAGAAAATTAAGTTCTGGCAAACTGACAGATCACTCTCAAAATAGCTACACTGTTTTAAGATAGTTAGTTTTGCAGAAAGCTTTCTTGCCTAGTGGAAAACATCCTAGATAGCTAATTCTCCTCCAGTAAATGAATTTTCACAACCAGCTGTGGTTCTTGTACCAGCCTTTTTGTAAATTAACAGACATTTTTAAAATTGCTAATAAGTTTGCATCCCCAATTTTACATTGTGGTTTAGTATGTTATAACAACTAAATCATTTTCAAAATAAGTCATAATTTGGAATAATATGCAGACCACAAGAACAAGTTATGATCATAGGAAGACAAGCCTTGGCCAAAAAACCCATTCTGGCTAATTTCATTGTAGAAAAGCATATAACATTGGAACCGCACTAGTACTTAGTTTTTAAGAGGAGAGGAGTTATGGCCTGCTCCCTTTTAAAATTCTTTATTTCCTGTTTTCATTAAATGTATTAAGCAATGGTTAATTGAAACTTTTTTTCCCTAAATTTAATTCATTTGCTTAAATTAAATCAACACATTGAGCTTTAAACCATGGGTATCCAATCTTTTGACTTGCCTGGGACACATTAAGTGAAGAGGAAATGTTTTGGGCCACATATAAAATATATGATTTTTATAATATAAAATCATATATTAAAAATTCACAATCTTGTAAAGCCACATTATTAGCTGTCTAGGGATGCATGTGGCCCATTGGCCACAAGTTGAATATGCCTGCTCTAAACAAACCATTTTGGCTGAATCTGCATAACCTATTCAACCACAAATCAGCCAAGCATCTTTTAGCCTAGCATGTTATAAAAGCTCAGATATCAGTGGCAATTAGTACACAAATTCATCTGCATACATTTTAGGATCCTCTATTTAAGCCACAAGACTCTGAATAACTTTTGGAAGAGAAAATTATTGCAAGAAATGGTAAGTTTGGTGTCACTTAATGTTGACTAGACTTTAGTAGTCCAGCCATGCTCCACCAGCTTAAGGCTGTGTTAACACAAAACTTTGTGTGTGTGTGCGTGTACAGGCGGTGACCTGTTGATTGCCGAGACAAACTTCTGCAGTTTCTTAGCATGGTTTTCAAAAGTGGTTTGCTGTTGCTTCTTCCCCAGAGCGTTTGACTGGCCTAAGGGGCTACCAAACTAGCTTTGTGCCCAAGGTGGGACTAGAATTCTCAATCTCTTCGTTTCTGGGATAGGGCTGTAACGATTATTCCAAACTGACTGGCATCCACACTTCAATCCAAGGTAAACCTACTATAAACCTACTCCGCTTCCTCCGGACACAGCTGTTGTTGTTCTTATGGGACTGACCCCTGCCAAAGCCTTGGCTCGGAAGTTCAAAGCCAAATGGCACATTCAACACAGGTAGTTTACTTCAGTTTTACTTACTAAAACGTCCCGGGCCCAAGAACGAGCATTCTCTCCGCGTAAGGCAAGGGTCCTCAACTTGGCAAGTTTAAGACTTGTGGACTTCAACTCCCAGAACTCCTGAGCTAACATGACTGGAGGAGGAATTATGGGAGTTGAAGTCCACAAATCTTAAAGCTGTCAAGTTTGAAGACCCCTGGCGTAAGGTTTCTACACGCCCGAGAGTCAAAGTTAAGCTTAGAGTTAGCCGCTCAAACTGACCCGTTCCCTCCGTTGGGGAGAAAGCACCGGGGATGCTTCTGCTTTGGCCCCGCCCAGGGAGAGGAATCCGGGCGGAGAAGCGCCGCTGCTGCACGGAGCCTTCGGAAGGAGGTGGCGGGCACAACAACTCCTCGCGGCTGCGCTTCTCCCCGGCGTTTCTGCACCGCCACCGTCTCTTCCACCGCCTCTGACTACATCGACGGCTAGAGTATGGAGCCACCGGAGGCTGCCCCGGCGGAGTGCCGCTGCGGGCTTCCCTGCACGACGCTGCTGCTGTTCCTCTACCTGAGCTACCTGCTGCTGGGCAGCGCCGCGTTCTGGGCGCTGGAGTCGCCCCGGGAACGCAACATGACGGACCAGCTCCTGAAGGAGAAGTGGGAGCTGCTGTTGAACTTTACTTGCCTGGAACGGGAGGCTCTGGAGCGGCTCTCGGAGGTACCGGCGAAACCGAGGTGGCTGGGGCGGGCTGGAAGGGAAAGGAAATGAGGAGTCCGGCCAGTTTAACTTCAAAGGCGCTCCACGTGTAGCCCTGGAGGCAGCCTTTCCTTCACGTGTTATAGAATAGAATAGAATAGAATAGAATAGAATAGAATAGAATAGAATAGAACATTGGCCAAGTGTGATTGGACACACAAGGAATTTGTCTTGGTGTAAATACTCTAAGTATACATAAAAGAAAAGATATATTTGTCAAGAATCGAGAATGTTAAGGTACGACAATTAATGATAGTCATAGGGTACAATCAACAATCAAATCATACTAGGAAACAGTCAATATAAATCTTAAGGATACAAGCTACAAAGTTACAGTCCTACAGTCACAAGTGGGAGGGGATGGGTGATAAGGAGTGATGACAAAATTAACAGTAATAGTAGTGCAGACTTTGTAATAGTTGAACAGGGTTGAGGGAATTATTTGTTTAGCAGAGTGATGGCTTTCGGGAAAAACTGTTCTTGTGTCTAGTTGTTCTGGTTTACCTGTTCTGGCCTTGAAATCGGGCTGGGGATCAGCTCTGGTGGGAAGGGAAGGATCTTAGGAGAAGTGGTTTGTCTAATGTAGAAATGAGGAATTTTCTGACAGAGAGAGCGATCAACTGATGGAACAGCTTGCCTTCAGAAGTTGTGGGAGCTTTATCACTGGAAGCTTTCAAGAAGAGACTGGACTGCCATCTGTCAGAAGTGGTGTAGGGTCTCCTGCTTGGGGGGCGCATTGGGCTAGATGACCTACATTGGACTAGATGACCCTTTCAACTCTGTTATTCTGTTAATGTGATCCTAGAAATGTTCTTTCTTTCCTGTAGATTAGAAACAGGTGTCCAGATCTAGAGCCCAAATGTAGAGTACAGTAGGAGATGAGAGATCCTTTTCAGATCATGATAGATCTTTTTCTGAGAAACTGTCAAATGTTGCCAGCGCACTGACCTACAAAGCATCCAACCAAATTTCAGCCAGGTGCATTGTGCAAACCCAGCCTGTATGTGATTATAATGGAATATGTTAATGTGAACCCAGGCAATTCAGGTATGGGAGCAAACCATAGTTTAGTTAGTAAGCACATCCCCAAAGTGCTACCTTTATACGTATCAGCTTTTCACTGAAGCAATTAAGTGCTTGAAGGAAGTAAGCAGAATTAGATATTTCTTTCACTTCTTTAAAAGTGGAGTTTGTACTTTGACCTACCGTATTTGCCGGCGTATAAGACGACTTTTTTGCCCTGAAAAACATGCCTCCAATTGGGGGGGTCGTCTTATATGCCGGGTCGTCTTATACGCCGGCAAATAGTAATTGGGAAGCACTGCGGCTGCCCGCGGCTGAGGCACTTTTGCGCACCGTGGAAACGAATCCCGTGAAGCCGAAAGGAGCAGCCAGCCTTCTCCCAGCTCCCAAGGAAACGAGGCTCGCACCGCCCGAGCTCCGCTGAGGTATCCGGCTGGGGCTGTCAGGAGTTGTTACCGCTGGCGCGGCTCCGCGCGGCTCCAGTCCCGCGTTGCCTCGGGAAGGGAAAGGCAAAAAGGAAGAGCCGCGGCGGCGCTTTGCAATGGCAGCAGCGGCTCCTGGTTTTGCCTTTCCCTTCCCGAGGCAACGCGGGACTGGAGCCGCGCGGAGCCGCGCCAGCGGTAACAACTCCTGACAGCCCCAGCCGGATACCTCAGCGGAGCTCGGGCGGTGCGAGCCTCGTTTCCTTGGGAGCTGGGAGAAGGCTGGCTGCTCCTTTCGGCTTCACGGGATTCGTTTCCACGGTGCACAAAAGTGCCTCAAAAAAAAAAAAGCGCAAAAGTGGAAGGCGTGCGGAAGAGGGGGCGAGTATATAACAAACTATATTTTGAGTGGAAATGTTGGGGGGTCGTCTTATACGCCGGGTCGTCTTATACGCCGGCATATACGGTAATACTTGGAATAGAAAAGTTTTGCAGGACTGTTTCCTTTATTTAACAGTTCTTTAATTGTAAGGCTTAATCTGTTTTACAAGTTGGGTATGAGACAGATGGAAATACCACCAAATTCAGTGGAGTTTAAACTGGGGTAACTATGCACAGGATTGAAGTTACACCCCATAAATGTTGCAATGAGATTTTATGAGTGGTTTGTTTGTTTGTTTGTTTTTGGATTTCTATGTTTCACTATGATTTAACAAGAGTTAAAAATAATATAGTAAAAAAGGAAATTTATGACGTAGATGAGGTTTCTTGACAAGGAGGTAGAAGAAAATGTAAGACACTCTCCAGAAAGAAAAAGAAAGAAAGAAAAAGAGAAAGAAAGAAACAAGAAAAGAGAAATTAACTCATTGCAAATAGTTTTATTTATTCATTTGTTTTTATTTATCAAATTTCAAGAGCATCCAATTCCTTGACAATTCTTTGCAGCTTATAAATAAGAAGATAATACATTTTTAAGAAGAACACAGCTGACCAGAGGAACAGGATGTCAACTCTAAACCAATTATAATTAAAGGGGGCTCCCTGGAAGAATAATTAAATCTTTAAAAATTTCCTAAACAACAAAAGGGCATACAAATCTCTATACAGCCAACTCCAAGCTAAGGCCAAGTAGGCACTGGCTAAGGACACTAAATTTTAAATTTTTTACCAAAACTGGAAAAAAAAAACTGAATAACAATGAAAGTGAAAAATAGTAGTGGAGTACTTCCTAAGTCAACATGCTCACTCCAGGGGTAAATACAGGTAATCCTTGACATAGGACACAATTCAGGCCAACATTTCTGTTGTCAAGTGCCATTAATAAATAAGTGAATTTTGCCCCATTTTACGACCTTGCCACTGTTAAGTGAATCACTGCAGGTATTGAGTTGTTAACCCAGGTGTTAAATGAATCTGGCCTTGTCAGAAGATTGAAAAAGGCAATCACATGACTTAGGGACACTGCAGCCATCATAAATATGAATCGGTTGCCAAGTATCTGAATTTTGATCACATGGCCACATGGATGCTGCAGCAGTCATAAGTGTGAAAAACAGTCATAGGTCCCTTTTTTAGGTGCCATAATTTGAATGGTCCCTAAAAAATTTTAGGTAAGTTGAGGACTGCTTGTATAATTTTGCAATGTAAATAGATGAGAGTGTTCAAGCAAAGAAAAAAGAATTGTCTGTGGCTGAAAATCATAAGTGTAAAGCTCAAAAATTAGAAGAATAAAACAAGAGGTGGCCATTTTGAAATTTCTAACAAATCAGAATATGAGTCAAATCATAGGGATGCCAGAATATGACTTTGGCTCGAGGCCAAAATACCTAGACCTACTCCTGAAGGAGAAAGGGCAGTTATTGCAAAAGATTAGGAGTTCTTCCTGGGTCCTGCAAGATGACCTAGTTTAATCAATGGGACCTTGATTGTGCTTTGCTTGGTTGATGATACCAGATGAGTGGACACTACTGAAGATAAGTGGTCCTTCAGAAATCTAAGCCCCTAGGCCATGAAGGACTTTAAAGGTGATTATCGGCATTTTGAATTGCATCCAACCAATACAAAGCAGCAGAGTCTCAGGCACATAACAGTGTTTCTGCCACAGTTCTCTCACTACTGCCTGGTTTGCCACATTCTGGACCAGCTGCAGGGCAGATGACTAGGCATGAGTAACTGTCTCTGAAGGGCCTCCCAGTCCAGGAAGGGTGCAATTGGCTCATTAGATGCCCCTGTGCAATGAGTGACCTCTGCTCTTCAAGTAAGAAACTCCAATAGGACCTTAGCTTGTACAAAGCTATCAAACAAGAGTCTGTGATGGAGTATTCCTAGATCTGAGGAACCCAAATAGATTTAACCATTTGAATTTATCAGGACTGAATCCAAGAATGTCCTCTTAAGAAAGGAGCATACTACATCCTCCTTCAAGACTGAGGAAACAACTGCATCAAAACCCATTGCATGGACCCAACCATAGGTTGGATCTAGCAAACAGGTATCCAAGCTTATAGATTGGAGAACTGTGGCCTACACATATTTTGGATGACAATTATCCCCTTCCCATGACTGTCTGTACTGCTTGAAGACATCATATTTGCCTTCACTGCCCTTACTGTTACTTCTACTACTATTAACTAACTGGAGTAATGGGCCACTCTCTGTGATTATATAATTAACTAAGCCAGAAGCTCATCTTTAACCTGGCTAATTGAATTGTGTGCGAACACTAACATTTGAGTTTTAAAGCTGAGAAATCTTCCCTGGAAAAGATTATATAGGATTGAGTGATTTTTCTTTCTTTTTTTTAACCATGGAATTATTGGTGAAAGATATAAACCTGAACTTAATAGGGAATAACTTTAAATTGTAGAGGCCAGCATCAGGCTGAAGGTACATTGGTCAATTTTACATTGGATTACTTCATAGCACTGCATAAAAGTTTAGTTTAGCTATTTGATTTGAAGCCATTTTTCCTGAATCATTGAATTGCAGTGTGAAATTGAATGCCTCTGGATTTATTTGATGTCTTTTTTCCCAAATTGATCTGGAAAATGAATCAATATGATTTTCTGAATCATCAAATCAGAAAGGCATAGATCCATATATCTCTTCTCCAGCATTTTTAATCCTTTTTATTGTTGTTGTATAGGCCATAGTGTCTGGGCCTTCAACAAATCATAATAGAACCTGTTACACAATGTACTACTATCTATGGCTACGCCAATACCTAACTCTCACTTTTTCTCAATGGCTCCAGTTCTGTTTGTGTAATGTGGAAACAGCCATTAGAGGGTTTGTCTGTCTGATGTTAATTCCAGTTTATCTGTGTGTAGGCTGCTGAAGAGGGTGGGTTCTGATATTTTTATTTCCTTCTTACTTTTTTATGGTCTCTTTTGAATAGTGTATAAAGGCCATGAATAGACATAGACATAAACTGTTAGATCTGGGAGAGTGGGCGCAAGAATGGAGACGAGGCATCGAATAGTGACTCCAACTCTTTATTAGTGACTTCAGAACAGAGCGAAATACTCAGGCAGCAGCAGCTCCTTTTATAGAGCTGGCTGCTGTCAAAACATCCAATGATTTGAGTTTGCCGTGCTTGGGCCGTCCAATCACGGCGACCCGTTAACTAGCCAATCGGATTAGTCTAAAACGACCAATCACGATCGGCTATTCACGGACCAATCAAAAGTGCAGGATTATGAGCCTGCCGTGGAAGGAAAACAATTAGAGTTTCAGGCTTACGAGCCTGCTAGTTCGGAACACCCCTCCCCTCTAGGTTCCATCTCAAGGGTGGGGTGATGTATTCTTGCTGGTAGGCAGGCCATCGCACCTGTCTACCTGACTTGCATTGCTCCACCAGTCTTTGTCCGGACTCTGGTTCCGGTGGGCTGTTTGCTGTGTCCAGCTGTAAAGGCGACCTGACTTCTACGCTGGGCGACTCGGGGGTGCCACCAATACTCCCTTCAAGGCTGTCATCTGGATCCTCTGGGCTGGCTGATCCCGCCTTGCTGTTTCTCGGAGAGATGACCATCTGCCACGGCTCCTCTTCAATTGGTGAATATTCTGGGTTTTGTTGTACTGACTGCGGGGTTTCGTGTACTGAACCAGGTGTTAGTTCATTTTCAACCCCCTCGATTTCCCTCCCCCCCCTGGTTTGGAGTTCAGGGTGTGTGAAGGGGGTAGGTGTCATCCTTGAGCGTAGTTGGTCGATGTGGCGTTTCCACAGCCTCCCATCTGTGGTTTCTAATTGGTAGGAACGGGGGCCCGTAAGTTGTGTTATTTTAGCAGGGACCCACAATGGGTCACCGGTAAAGTTTTTTGCGAATACCGGGTCGCCTATCTTAAATGTGCGACATTTGCTGCTGGAACCCAGGGGCTTTTCTGGCGTGTAGGCAGGGTGCAGACGGTCGAGATGTGATCTAAGTCTCCTGCCCATCAGGAGTTCGGCTGGGCTTTTGTTTGTGGTGCTGTTTGGAGTAATATGTTGGAGGAGAAGCATCCTTCAGGTTATTGGTTTCCAGGAACATTTGAAACCTGTCCATGTACGAGTCCCAGTCTTCGTTGGCTGGATCAAATGGAGCGGGTGGTATGGCGCCGCTGGTCATCTTGCCGCTATCGGTGCGCCCTCAGCCACATGCTCTGTTAGTGTTCCGCGAGTGCTCAGTCAGCTCTATCGTCTCCGCATCCCATCCTCGTCGCCAGTGTTAGATCTGGGAGAGTGGGCGCAAGAACGGAGACGAGGCATCGAATAGTGACTCCAACTCTTTATTAGTGACTTCAGAACAGAGCGAAATACTCAGGCAGCAGCAGCTCCTTTTATAGAGCTGGCTGCTGTCAAAACATCCAATGATTTGAGTTTGCCGCGCTTGGGGTGTCCAATCGCGGCGACCCATTAACTAGCCAATCGGATTAGTCTAAAACGACCAATCACGATCGGCTATTCACGGACCAATCAAAAGTGCAGGATTACGATTGCATATGTTGGCTGGGCTCCCTAAGTCTTGTATGCACAGCTTCTATTCTCTATTTCATATTCGGCTGAATGTAACTAAAGTTCCATTTTACATATTAGGCAGAGTCAGAGAATAGATGGGGGCTGGGCCAGTTAGAGATGATATTCCGAACTACTCAAAAGTTTTTGCTACTGGTTCTCCAAACTACTCAAAATTTCTGCTACCGGTTCTCCAAACTACTCAAAATTTCTGCTACCGTTTCTCCAGAATTGGTCAGAACCTGCTGAATACAACCTCTGAGCTGGGTGCCTTCACTCTCTCTCAGCCTAACCCATCTCACAGGCCTGTTATGGGGGAAATACGAGAAGAAAGAAGTATTGTGTGTATTTGCCATCTTGAATTGTTTATAAAAATAATGAGGGATATAAATATAAAACATAAAAACAGGACTAAAATACTAACTTGGTAAAAGATAGTCACATACAGGAATGAAACCATTCTAACTGAAGAAATTTTGTGAGTTTTTTTTTTTTTTATATTAGCCAGATATTCCACTACAACATTCATAATTATCACTACAGAGCCTGGAAAGAGATAGAAGCATTCAATTGCAATATATGTAAGGAAAAATGCCATGTAAGGAATAAATGAAAGTGTTCATTTCAGGTTTCCATGTACCTGATTGTTTTAGATATCTTCACATATGTTTATGTTTGAAAGGTGGTGATAAATTGGTAGGTAGTTTAGAGACCATCTATTCTATCCTCTGCTTGCAGCAACTCCTGCCATTGTGAAATGATCTGTATCAAACGAGAACTCACTATCCCATTCGATTCCCAAGTATAACTCCTGGATAGAAACTAATGAGGAATTGAAACTAATCAAGGACAGACGCAACCCAGAACTCAGGAGAAATTTCCTGACAATCGGGTTTCCTGCCTGAGCAGTGGGATGGACTAAAAGATCTCCAAGATCCCTTCCAACTCTGTTATTCCTCTTTCAAGTTTTTTGCAACTTAGTTTTCTCAAATTAGTCTCTTTGTTCGTCTGATCCATTATCTACTGTGCCTTGATATAGAATTATATCAGAAATTCTTATTTGTGTTGTTCCTAAATATTGTTAGTATGATTGTAAAACTACTGAAACTCTTTCGTATCATTCATGTAGTTAGTCTAATGTCTGTGGAATAAGGGTCATATTCTTGGTGGCCATTTTATGTGACTATTTAGATAGAAAGGGCTGGAACTCTACAAGCCAGGAATGGAAATTGGAGACAATTGAATGGTCCATATTATCAATAACTATCAGAAATTCTAACAAAATCACAACTGGTCTTACAGATTGTACTGTAGAATATCCACTTGCTCCTTAGCGGTTTATTTATTTTTTATTTTTATTTATTTGATTTGCCAATTGTTTACAAGATAAGTATAAGTGTATACATAGTTGTGAATACATGAAATGGGTACATATAGGAAAAATAAAAGAAGAATAAGAGAAACAATAGGACAGGGACGGTAGGCACGTTGGTGCGCTTATGCACGCCCCCTACAGACCTCTTAGGAAAGGGGTGAGGTCAATAGTAGACAGTCTAAGGTTAAAGTTTTTGGGGTTTGGGGAAGAAACTACAGAGTCGGGTAGAGTATTCCAGACATTGACCACTCTACTGCTGAAGTCGTATTTCCTGCAATCAAGTTTGGTGCGGTTAACATTGAGTTTGTATCTATTGTGTGCTCTTGTGTTGTTATGGTTGAAGCTGAAGTATTCACTGACAGGTAGGACATTGCAATGTATGATTTTATATACCATGCTTAAGTCAGACCGAAGACGGCGTAATTCAAGGTTTTCTAGTTCTAGAATTTCAAGTCTGGTGGCATAAGGTATTCTACAACGAGTAGAAGAGTGGAGAACTCTCCTTGTGAAATATTTCTGGACTTTCTCAATTGTGCTAATATCAGATACGTAATGAGGGTTCCAGACTGATGAACTGTATTCGAGTATTGGTCTAGCAAATGTTTTGTATGCTCTGGTTAGTAGTGTGATATTACCAGAGAAAAAGCTACGTAGAATTAGGTTAACAACTCTTAATGCCTTTTTGGCTATGTAGTTGCAGTGGGCTCTAGCACTTAGATCATTAGAGGTGAGTATTCCAAGGTCCTTTACAGAGCTTGGGTCATCAACAAGATCTTGACTATTCAGCTTGTATTTTATTTTCTGATTGTTTTTGCCAATATGTTATATAATATAATATATAATATATAATACGGTTGCATATCTCTAAAGTCACAGTACGAGTTAACGTGTTTGCATTATGCCAGCTCTGTCCCAGCCACCAGGGAGTCCAACAGGAAAATAATTTAATGGCTAAATTAATTCTAATCTTAATTGAACTGTTTTTTTATTACTATATTTATATTTCAATGTAACTTAAGAGAATATAAGTGTACTGTTTTCTTACTTTACCTCATTTTTATCCCTATAACAACCCTTGAAGTTAGATGTAGGTGACAGGTCTTTGTCTTTTTGTGTTACCAAAGGATATGTGAATCAAGAAGAAGTCTTATTTTTAAATGTCCTAATACATCTTTGTAAAATAACCTTTATCACGCATGTTTTTATCTTTATAGAGAACATAAATGCTGCATTTAAAACTTAGGTGGCATGAGGGCTGCATTTCTTTGGAAGAAAATATCTGGTTTCTGCCAGCCCTTTCATTAATTAAGATAATAGAAGATATCATTTTCTGAAGATTTTTTGAAGGAGAAGACCATTCTGGTCAGGGACTTCATTTCTTCATCTGCTAATTAAGGGGTTTTTCCTTATCTGCACATTGTAATTGCTTTTTAACTCTGATTTCAGTGGTTCATTCTTTGTTTTTATCTTTTATTTTCTGTAAATGCTGCCTTGAAAACTGTTTCTCTGAGGGATGGGCAATACGGAATGCTTTAAAATAAAGTCTATTCTCTTAAGGGTTAGTTGTCCTTCAAAGTTATACTTTCTTATATTCATTGTTACAAAATTATATAGCAGGGATTCTGCTAAATCTTTAAAGGAGAATTGGGGCAAGATATTAAATTCCTGTCAAGCCAGCTAAACATAGAAGATGAACTAATTTACAAAGGAAACTACATGTCTTGATTCAGAATGAAGTTTGTGTTCAGTGGAACTTATTCGAGGAAAGTGTGAATAAAAATGCAACTTTGGACTATCTTGTGGACAGAAATCCGCATCCATGACTTCTCTTTTTTTAATCTTTTTCACAGAATATCATCTATGCCTACAAGAGTGGACTTTATCTTAAAGAAAATACAAGTCTGGGCAGATGGGACTTTGTCGGCTCCTTCTTTTTCTCTGTTTCTACAGTAACAACTATCGGTAGGAGTCTTGGAATACTAATTTGGAGAAAATAATGTGAAATAATTATAGCACAAAACTAAGCCTTTTTATCCCATTCTGTAGCAAAGAAAGGTACAACTGAAGAAGAAAAGTTGGGATGTATCTTAGATTATTCTTGTAGTCTTTCTGCTGCTGCTTTGTTTTGCATTTGATGGAAAATTTTATAAAAAGCAGATGTGACTCTAAAGATATCTTTGCTTTAAGCTGCACACTTTAGCCATGTTCATAGCATCAGTAGAGTGAGCCACATAGTACCAGCAGGGGGCAGTAAAGATTTCACTCAAAGCAAATGCCAGTTATAGATGACTTTCACAGGACTACACCCCCAGTAATTAGGATCATGCACTGAATCATACCAAAAGCTGTTTGAATCCAGATCTTTTTTGTAATAAATTTTAAAGAAAGTAACATGCTAAAGGATCTTGGCCTTGAGAGTTTATGATCCAAATCCACAGCATGCCAGCAACCGGCTACGCAAACAAGCGAAATCCCATCCACAGGATACAGACATAATGCAAAACCACATCCCCTCCAATCCATGGAATTTTTTTTTCCCATGGAACTGGTCCCTGGTGCCCAAAAGATTGGGGGAGCCACTGGCCTAGATAGAGCAAAATATGCTGCTCACACTGAGATCCTTGATTGTGGTTGTTTGATCTTTGTTCATAGCCTTGGACTTCTTTAGAAGCAGTGGTGGGATTCAAATTTTTTTACTACCAGTTCTGTGGGTGTGGCTTGGTGGGCGTGGCAGGGGAAGGATACTGTAAAATCTCCATTCCCTCCCCATCCCACTAACCTGCTTTCCAGCTCCATTCTCCTGTGCAGGGCAACAAAAGAAGACCCAGACAATCAGCTGGGACTTAAGAGGCAGAGAATAGATGGGAGCGGGGCCAGTCAGAGGTAGTATTTGCCAGTTTTCTGAACTACTCAAAATTTCTGCTACCGGTTCTTCAGAACTGGTCAGAACCTGCTGAATACCACATCTCTGTTTAGAACACATGGGATGAAGTGTTCATTTCATAAATTAAAAAGCCAACTCTGTTTATAACCAAAGTGCTTTTGTCTCTGGGTTTTCAAATATTATCTTGGACACTCTGTCTCCTTTGAATACATGAATAACCTGAACGTAGGCTACAGAGGACAAACCATTCACCAAAGGCATGGCTTAGGGTGGTAATCTATTCCTATCTTTGTGTCATATTACTCTGTCCTTTTTTCAGTTTGGATGCAAATACAGGCACACACATACAGTTTCTCTGATTGTGAACAGCATAAGTAGTGTATTTCAGGCTACAGGTATCTGATGGGCTATATATTTTTGTATCACTCCACTGCTTGCTCTTTTTATGCTGTTGGGTCTCTTTCCCATTTGGAATCCAGGCATGTAGATACAATAAAGAGCAAAAGAGTGAAGAAGAATCACCCTGCAGATCTTATGCCTCTTCCCTTCCTATATTGTAAAAGGAAAAACAGGTTGTATCCAGGCTTGCCTGCGTTCTCATGGTAATGTCTGTGTCAACCTACAAAGATCTATTTTAAGGTGTGTGAACTGAGCCTCAAAGGCATATTGTGCAGCAGGTTTTAAATTGGAAAAAAAAAAAATCAGCAAAATGCATAGCATTTTAACTCTTGGCTGTATACTTAATGAGTCACAAGATGGCAGTGTTATCTTACTCTGCAGTTGTATTCCGCTTAAATGGGCACTTGATGATTAATCATCATTTAAGCAGCACATTTGTCTCAAATAAGACTAAATTAGAGACTTGAGGCCTATCATGGGCCATATTCCATGCTTCCCCAAATTAATGCTTTTTTCCATGCACAATTGCTTGGGGATATATGCAGAAAACATTTTTTTCCGACAACCTGTGGAATATATAAACTAAAAGCTGTAATATTACAGCTTTTCCAGTGTTTTAAAAATCTATCAACTCCCAATTAAGCACAGAAATCCTTAAAAAGGTTAGCAGCAATCATTTTTCAAGCATTTGAAGGGAAATTTTAAATAAAGACATTTGGAAAACGAGAACATTTAAATGTAGCCAGTTCACTTCTGAGAGAAGAGGTGTGGCATCTGGAGCCCTTCTGAAAAATTTAGCATCTAATTAAATGCTTTTACTATAAGAGAAAGGAGAAATTATTATATGCATGGAGATTCAACTGGTTAAATTAATGGATTTAATTAACAAATTGCATTTAGCTTTGATTGTGTACCTGACGATTCCATTGTCCTGGTCCCATCCACTTATTGGAGTCACACATCATAATTAAAGCTCTGTACAATGCTTGGTCCTACATAAGAATATAGATTTTATAGATTCCTAACTTGAGGGATGAAGCAATGCCTGATTCCTCGTACTAGTACTGCCTAGCCCCTTCCCTGAAGCACAGTCCAAACCAAAATAGAGGAGAAAGAGATGAGAAAGCTGCTAAGACTTTTCCATATTCCTACTTCCATGGAACAGTCCCAAAGAGGGACTGTTTTCAAGAGGCAACTTGGACTGTGGTTTTTTTTTTTTTTTAAGACGTTTCGTTTCGCTTCTCATCCAAGAAGCTTCTTCAGCTGAAATGCAAAATGTCTTCAACCCCCTCCAAAGCCCAGTTTCCTCTTGAAAAAACACTAGAATTCAACACAACACAAACACAAGCAACAGAACATAATGACACCAGAGTCTTGGATTTTAAAAGAGCTGATTTCAATAAACTCAGAGAGAACTTGGGAAAGATTCCATGGATGAAAATCCTAAAGGGGAAAACAACTCAAGAATCTTGGGAAACTCTAAAAAGTATGATCATAGAAGCCCAGACTAGCACAATACCACTGAGAAAGAAAAACAAGAAATCCAAGAAGAAACCAGCATGGCTGCACAAAGATCTCTCTGGCAAATTGAAAGAAAAAAAAGGACAAGTACAAAAAATGGAAAGAAGGACACACAACTAAGGCAGAATATCAGCAGATAGCCAGAATCTGCAAAGACGAAGTCAGGATAGCAAAGGCTCAGAAAGAACAAAGACTTGCAACAAAAGTCAAAGATAATAAAAAAAAGTTTCTTCCAAAATATAAATAACAAGAAAAAAATCAAGGAAACAATCTGTCCACTAAAGAGAGAAGATGGCAAGGACGTAACAGGCAACAGAGAGAAAGCAGAACTGCTTAACTTATTCTTTGCATCTGTCTTCACGCAAAAAGAAACTATAGCTCAACCCACCAAAAACAAAACTGTAAAAGACAGACCAGAAATAAAAGTTAAAATAAGCAAAAAAAAAAAAAATAGTAAGAGAACACCTGTCCAATCTTGATGAAAACAAATCATCAGGGCCTGATGGATTACATCCCAGAGTTTTAAAGGAGCTGGCAGATGTCATCTCAGAACCACTGCACCATATCTTTCAAAAATCCTGGAACACCGGGGAACTACCAGAGGACTGGAAAAGAGCTGATGTGGTTCCCATCTTCAAAAAAGGGGAAAAAAAACAGACCCAGGAAAGTATAGACCAACCAGCCTAACATCAATACCCGGGAAGATACTGGAAAAGATAATAAAAAACAGATCTGCCAACATCTAGAAACAAGTGAAGTGATAACTAGCAGTCAGCACGGGTTTGTTAAGAACAGATCATGCCAAACCAATCTTATTTCATTGTTCAACACAGTGACTAAATTAGTAGACAAGCCAAATACTGTGGACATAATATATTTAGATTTCAGCAAGGCATTCGACAAAGTAGACCACAACCTACTTCTTAGTAAGCTAGAAAAAAGTGGAATAGATAGCACCACCACTAGATGGATTCGCAACTGGCTGACAAACCGTACTCAACGAGTAATCCTTAATGGGTCTAAGTCTACATGGAGGGAAGTAAGCAGTTGGGTGCCACAAGGTTCTGTCTTAGGCCCAGTACTCTTCAATATCTTCATTAACAACTTAGATGAGGGAATCGAAGGGGAACTTACCAAATTTGCAGATGATACTAAGCTGGCAGGAATAGCTAACACCAAAGAAGATAGGCTCAAGATACAGATGGATCTTGACAGACTAGAACACTGGCCCATATCTAATAAAATGAAACTCAATATAGAGAAAAGTAAAGTCCTACACTTAGGCAAGAAAAACCAAAAGTACACATATAGACTGGGTGAAACCAGGCTCAATAGCAGTAACTGTGAGAGAGATCTTGGAGTCTTCGTGGACAACCAGCTAAATATGAGCCAGTAGTGTGCAGCAGAAGCCAAAAAAAGCTAATGCAATCCTAAATTGTATTAACAGAGGGATACAATCAAGATCAAGGGAAGTACTAATACCACTCTATAAAGCCTTAGGAAGACCACACCTAGAGTACTGCATCCAGTTTTGGTCACCACATTATAAAAAAGATGTTGAGACTCTAGAAAAAGTACAGAGAAGAGCAACCAGGATAATTAGGGGACTGGAGGCTAAAACATACAACGAACAGCAACTGGGCTTAGCTAATCTAATAAAGAGAAGGTCCAGGGGAGACATGATAGCAGTCTTCCAATATTTAAGGGGCTGCCACAGGGAGGAAGGGGTCAAGCTATTTTCTAAAGCGCCTGTAGGCCAGACAAGGAATAATGGATGGAAACTGAACAAGGAGAGATTTAACCTGGAAATAAGGAGAAATTTTCTGACAGTGAGAACAATCAACCAATGGAACAGTTTCCCCTTGGAAGTTGTGGGAGCACCATCACTTGAGACTTTCAACAGGAGATTGGACTGCCATTTGTCAGAAATGGTGTAGGGTCTCCTGCTTGAGCGGGGGGTTGGACTAGATGACCTACAAGGTCCCTTCCAATTCTGATTATCTGTTATCTGTTACCTTTGGGACTAGCACGACCTGGATGGCTGAGAATCTCCATAGATTTCCAGGGAACAGCTAAAAATGCACCAACTGTGTCTAATCTTGATTTCAGATTAGTAAAGAGTTGATACAGAACTATTTATGAGTTATGACCATAATTG